TCCCATTTCCATCCCAAATGGGATCCCCTGGAGCTGTTCCTGTTTGGAGCAGAGGGAATTTTGGGGCAAAAGCAACGCGGGTTTGGGCGATTCCCAAAGGCAGGGAAGGGAAGATTCCCGGACAGGGAGCAGCTCTGGCCCCAAATCCCAGCCGGGTTTAATCCCAGCCTAAACCTCCGAGTCCCGATTTCCCTCCGGAGCCACCCGGGAGCAGCCGCGGGATGCGGGGAGGTGACACTGGGGCTGTCCCTGCTGTCACCGCGGTGTCACCCGGCCCTGGAATGGGGCTGGGACCCCCAAAAACCGGGAGAGCCCGAGCTGGGGGTCCCCGAGCTGGGGGTCCCCGAGCTGGGGGAAGCAGCGGCTGTGCCTAAGCCGACAGTGCCACCTGCTGCCACCGGGCTGGGGACAGCGACAGCGACGGGACAGGACAGGGACACAGGGACAGGGACACAAGGACAGGGACACAGGGACAGGGACACAAGGACAGGGACACAGGGACACAGGGACAGGGACACAGGGACACAAGGACAGGGGGACAGGGACAGGACAGGGACACAGGGACACAAGGACAGGGACACAGGGACAGGGACACGGACACAGGGACAGCTCCTTCCCTTCCATTGGGAATCTCCCAACTCCCCAGCAGCAGATTTGCGTGGTCAACCCTTCAAAAAACCCTCAAAACCTCCCAAAAAAACCCTCAAAAATCTTCACAATCCTTCTGAAAACCCCTCATAACCCCCAAAAAACTCCTCATAATCCACCTAAAAGCTGCTGACAACCCTCCCCAAAACCCCCTCGAAAAACGTCTCAAAACCCCTCCCCAAAATCTCCTCACAACCCCCAAAAAAATCCTCACAAACCCTCAAAAAACCTCGCATAACGGCCCCAAAAATCGCTTTAAAACCCCCCGAAACCTTCAAAAACCCCTCACAACCCCCCAAAAACCCACACAACTCTAAAAAACCACTCAAAACCCCTGAAAAACTCCTCATAACCCCCCAAAATCTCCTCTCAAACCCCCAAAAATCCCCTCACAACCTCTCAAAATCTCCTCCAAAAACCCTCAAAAATCTCAAAATCCCCCCCCAAAAAAACCTCAAAATTTGAGATTTTTATCTCAAAAATCCCCCCAAAGTGTCCCAGGCCTCAGAACAGCAGAGAACCCCAAGTCAATCGTATTTTTTATTAAATATACATCCTCTCTTGGCACAAATCTTAAAATATATAAACATTATGTAACAAAGTGTCTTCACTGCAATAAAATAGAATTCCAGATCCAAGAAACGCCGCCAAAATCCACCCACACGTCGATGGGGAGGGCAGGAAAAGGCAATTAACAGTGTTTGTGCTAATTAATAAATGCATAGACCACACAGGCAGTGACCGGGGCTGGGACACCCTGCAGCTCATGGAGGGTTTTGGGGGAAAATGCGGGAAAAAAGGGGGAAAAAAAGGGGGGGAAATGAAAAAGAAAGGGGGGAAAAAGGAAAAAAAGGGGGGAAAGAAAGGGGGAGAAAATAAAGGTGGGGAAAAACGAAAGGGGGGGAAAAGGGGAGAAAAAAAAAGGGGGAAAGGAAAA